CTGGAAGGCAGTTTGGTGCTTCCTCCAAAAGCTGAGCATAGAAATTCCATATGATAGCTATTCCACTACTTGGAATATACTTTGAGAGAATGAGAACTGAGGCACAAATAGAAAATTGTATACCAGTGTTCATGGCAGTGTTATTCACCATCACAAGAGCATGGAAACAGGCCACATGTCCAACCACCATTGAATGGATTGAGAAATTATGGGACATTCCCAAGATGGAATACTATGCAACATGCAAAAGCAATGATTTAGAAAAATACTACATAACTTGGGAGATACTGGAGAGCATTATGCTAAATGAACTAACTCGGTCTCAGAAGGAGAAATACTACATAAGACCATTATTGTAATAGTAGCAGGATAACTAGTAAAACGACATGGCATTCCAAGAGGGGTGAGAACGAGTATGGATGAAATCACAAAGTTGTACAATTTGGTGCATGGAAGGAGGTTAGAAAGGAAATGGTAAAGATTCTGTGGGGACCTGAAAAGACAGGGTAATGATATTTCATAGTGCAATAGTAATTAATTTTACAAAGCATAATTTATAGGAATGCTTGTATGAAACTGAGTAAAGACTAGTGTGAAACGCAATGCATGTAAGCAAACCAATAAAACCAGTGTTTGTAAGCAAACAAAAAAAGTAGACACTTAAAATGAGTGCCACTGTTTATAGTTCATCCAAACCTAGTCATTTAGATACTTTTAGTTAAAAGGTATATGATAGAAGGGTCTCTTTTTCATATACATATACATATACATATACATATACATATACATATACATATACATATACATATACATATATTGGTTATTTTGCAGGAACATCTTCTCTACAATAACTCTTTGGATTCTTGATCTTTGTGGCAAATTTGGGAGACCCACAAATTTTGGGGACTAAGTTTTACCATTCAGTTGTTAAATATGACTCTTGTGCCTATAATTCTTGCACATTGAAACTTGGTAAAGTTTTTATTTTCTCATTTCAGATTCAGTCTCTTTAAGATGTATCTCATTTGTCATTGTCTTTCCCTAGAACTATCACTTAGCTTAAACTGGATCTTTTCAGACTTGGATTATTGCAATGTTCTCCTATCTGTCCTCTCTGTCTACAATTTTGAGTAGTTCCAATATATGCTCTATAAACAGAAAATATTATCTTTCAAATAGAAATCTGATTCTATCACTCAGATGCCTATACCCTTCAGTGACTTCCCATAGCTATTATATAAAACGTTCCATGCTTTTAGCATTAAAAATATGAAAAACCATTAAAGCTTTACTTCTGTAGCCTTATTTCTGATGTCACTAAGTGGATCTAGTTTTCCTAACTTCTTGTTGTCTCTGCATATCTCAACTTCTAACTTGTTGTTATATGCAGTCCAATTGGAACTGAGTCATAGTTGACCCTCTAGTGGTTTTCCAAGACGGTAAATCTCAAAGGCTTGACTTGCACATCTTTCTCCAGAAGAGCAACTAGTAGATTTGAACACTGTTTCTTAGGTGACCTCTAGTGGGTTTTCAGAGACAGTAAATCTCACAGGAAATTCTCCGTCTTTCTCCTGAGGAGCAGCTAAGTGGACTTGAACTGTGTGCCTTTAGGTTGACAGCACAAACCCTTACCACTAATTCTCCAGAACTCCCTTAACTTCTAGCTGTGACTCATTATTTTCAGACTTCGCTTAAGTGCTACTTTCTGTACAAGCCATTACTGACTTTGGGGTAAGTTGCATACCTCTCCTCGGTGCTACATTGTATAGCATCCTGAGATCCTGAGCTAACCTCTTTGGTAGACACTATATTGCTGTGATTATCCATTGCTTTGTCCTGCCCTGCTGCTATGCTGTGAGCCACTTCAGGGCTTATCTGTCATTTTATTTTGAGGGCCTCCCAAAGTGTCATTATATAAATGAAGTAGCATTTGTCCTCTCATTCAACAAATGTTTATTTATAATGTCCACTCTGGGATAGATGCTGTTCCAGATTCTGAGGTTTCAGTGGAAAACACATACACACACACACACACACAGTCTCTTATGCAATGGAGTTTCTGGTCCATAAGTGAGACACAAGTTAATATCGTAATATAGTAACATATTAATAAAATATTTAGTCCAATATACAAAATATGGCATTTTAACTCTGACTAGTGTGGTGAAGAGGGGATGGTGATTTTTGAGAATCTGTAAGGAAGGGATCGTTCTAGGCCAGGAGGTAGAAGAAGTTCTTGGAAGCAGAGGAGTTTACACTGAGCTCTGAAGCTTAAGTAGGAATTAGCTGAATCAAGTGAGATGACACATGCAGGGACAGATGATGAGGCCCTTTCTTGCCTTCTTTACCGCTACTGTTCTGGTTCAAACCAGTGGTTCAAAGTTCCAGTCTCTTGAGTGAATTATTACACCAGCCTCCCTAGTCTTAGTGGTCTTGACCCTCTTCCTGACTGTTCCTTAAAAAGCAGCTAGAGTATTTAGAACATATCATGACATGGTTCCATTTAAAACCCTCCAGTGGTTTCCCCTTACATTCTGTGTATTATCCCATGTTAGTTATAGTAGATTTTTAGTACTTATTGTCACTTAAGATAATTTACAGATAAACTTCTGAGCATCAGAACTTGATGCAACAGCCTTATTTTTCCATGTCTTGAGAGTTTTTCATTATTAACAGGATGCAGTCTACTTTTCTTCTTTTAATGGGAAGTATTTGAGTTGTACTTCTCTAGTAGTGTTCTGCCTTATACCTGTCTTGCTCTTACAGGCTTATAATGTATATTTCAGGGAGAGCTAGTGGCTTAGTGGCTTGTTGAGCTGCCAACACAAAGGTGCATGGTTTGAACCCATCAGCTGCTCCACAGGAGGAAGATGATCAGTCTCCTCCTGTGTGATTTACTGCCTCTGAAAACCCACTGGAGGGTCAGCTATGGTGTAATTGATGGTACTCAGCAACATCCTACCAAGGCTGTCCTCACTTATTTAAGGAGCTTATGTTTTTTCCCTCAATGGAATAGAAACTCCATGCAGAAAGAAATGTGTGTGTTTTTTCATAGATGTGGGTATTCATAGAAACTTTAAAAAGAATCTTAGAATATGTAATTTTCACAGAGTAGTATTGTGCCTTTTTTTTGCACTGTGCTTTTTTTATTTCAACAAATTGACAGTATTTTCTGAAAGAATAGATAACAGATCTTATCTACATCATGATATTCACCTCCTTAGTCACTTTGAAGAACTTTATTTCAGCTCCTTGCTACCTTTGTCATTCTTTCTCCTCCCATTTTCTACTTCTAATTCAAATCATCATGCCTTCCTAATAGGAACCAGTTTAGGAATATCTATTAACCTACTTGTTAACCTACATGTAGGTTTAATTCTCAGCCAAGGGTGGACTAAGTAGATACAGGCTTTGCTTTATGGTATCATCTACACTTCGCTGTGATATCTTCTCTGAGAACATGATTAGACCCATGTGTGCAAGCCAGGGGTGAAATCTTATAATCTAAGCAAGGGGAGAGCAATGTTCTAATAGTAACAGGATCGGAATGATAACAGTCACTGGGTTTCTAAGGTAAGTCACATTCTGGGTTTTTAGAGCCAACCTCTCCATTTCCTTGGATTGGTAAGACTTCTACTATTGGTATTGCTGCTTCCATGCTGTGAAAATGGATGGCTCTATTTTCACAAGCTCAATAGGAGTATTAGACATTTGCTTTCTTCATAAATAGAGCAGAGAAATAGAACCATAGAATAACACTGTGGGCTTGTTTAACAATATTTACTTAGTGAGTAAAGGAGCTAGACCTTTTTGCTGCATTGTCTGCTCTTCCAGTCAGTAAATGTTATTGTGACTATTGAACCGTCTGTGAAATCAGTATATTCTGATGAAGTGTGTGTTAATTCCTTAGTTATAATGCTTATTAGATGGTTAGACATTCATTTTCATAAACTTAAGAAATGGTCTTCTACAGACAGCCTCAAGAGTGCTTTCGGATCTTTAGGATACATATATTCTGAATACCGTCTAGGTGAACGGTGTACTGTCAAACACTGCCAAGCGGAGAAGGATGGTGTCTGCTTTTCAGGTGCTTACCATGCTTCTGCTAATACTTCCAACTCTGCTCACATACTTTGGATATATTGTCAAGAGGGACCTTTCTTTGGAGGGGGACATCATGTGTGGAAAAGCAGAGGGTCAGTGAAGGAAAGGAAGACTCTCATAGAGATGAATTGACAAAGTTACTGCAAAAATGGGCTGAAATACTATGGTGGAGATATTGAGGGAGGTACAGGTTTGAGTAGGATTGTGATCTGCAGCATATATAGTCACTTTGAGTCCGAGCCTCAACTTGACCTTGAGGAACCTAACAACAGACAGTACCTGTGTAACCACCACTACCATTTAAGTCTTAAGAGGTGCTTTATCTCTATTGTTGTTGTTGTTGTGTGTCATAGACTGGCATTGACATGTTGTTGTGTGTTATTGGCCAGTCACTGACCCTGCAGCAGGTTTTCAAATCACACAAGAGTCTGCTCATCCTTCTGCCACAGAACAGCTGGTGGATTTGAACTCTGTACCTTTGAGATTGCAGCACAGCTTCTTACCACTGTTACAACATCATGGAATCATTCCCCAAACTCTTCAACATAGCTATATCTTCATTGTTCCAACAAGACTGTATGCAGAGATTAATTAGAAATAAACAATAACTGAAGCTATTAACTGAAGTCAATATTTAACATTTTTTCCTAAACCTGTAGTCAAGGAGGTGACATATAGCAGCTGCGTCTGTCATTCCTGATTCCTGGGGCATGGGTACAATGAAGTTCCTACCCTCAAGAAGCTTATATTCTAGTCAATGTTCATATCAGGCACAGTATGTTTTCTACCAGATAAATGGTTGATTTCTTTTGGTAATCTTAGTTCTCATCAGGAAATATCACTAGAGTAGCAAAATAAAAGGACTTTCTCCAAATGTATTGCTTGTCTCTTCACAGAAAGGAGCTGGGTACCACCTGGATCTCTTCTGGGTGGCCATCCTCATGGTGGTGTGCTCCTTCATGGCTCTCCCGTGGTATGTAGCTGCTACCGTCATTTCTATTGCTCACATTGACAGTTTGAAGATGGAGACTGAGACTTCTGCACCGGGAGAACAACCAAAATTTTTGGGAGTGAGGTATGTCAAAGGAAACGGGTCTACAAAACAATATTGTGCATACATTTATGTGTTAATCATTAGGGCAAAGACAGATGTGGAGGAAAATGAACTGGGCAATGGTTAGATTATTCCAAACTTTCTGTTACAAGACTAAACTTTTATCAGATCATCTTCAGAACTTGTTCTTGTTGTTGTTCTCTCTTGCTTGTGCCTATTTTTTTTTTTAATATGTCAAAGGCTAAATGAAGCAACATGAGGACACAAGCAGGTCATTTCTTTTCCACAACTTGTGGGTCATCGGTGTGCTCTGGCACAATGCTGTTGATAGCCAGACCCTTTAAATCTCAGTGCTGTCGATATTCCATCAAACTGTCAAGCTATTTTGTGGTTTTAAAAATTCTGTGATGGAAAAGAAATTCTTATTTTCAAGTTTATTTTCTGCCCCCATAAGTACAGAGAAACTTTGATTCCTTCCTTCCCCTTACTGTTGAACTTTTGTATCTTTGAAGGGCAGAGGTACACTGCTTTTATTTGTGGTTGAGTCCTTTTACAGAAAACCCTGCTCTGAAGAGTAGGTAGTTCACAGAGCTGTAGTTTCCCACGCCGTATAACAGTAGGTGATTCTTTCTTGAGGACTGGAGGAGGGGATCTTCGATGGGAATAGTATTTGCTAAAAAGTACCCTTGTTGTTGAAGATTTGAAAATTAGACCAATAGGATTTATTGCACTCAAAATTTCCCTGAGCTGTTTGTTAATTAGCATGTGGGACAATGTAATATCTGTCTCCTCTAAAACAAGGTGTAATTACACTAAAGAACAGGTTGTTTGAAGAATGAAGGGCTTCAAAAAAGATAGCAACTGATGACTAAGAGCAATTGATTTTTCTTCTAAAAGAGGGGAGGCTTTTGCAGGACTGTTTCATTTTCTGCTCAGGAATTCATATTATATATTATATTGGGGAAAAAAGTCTTTAAAGTTTTGTTTATTTATGCTTTCCTTGAGGTTTTACTGTGTTATACTGACATCTTTGGCATTTTAGCTAAACATTGATTGAGGGTGAAAAGACAAGAATGTGTTTATGAAAACAAGAGGTAGATCAATAACCTTTTCATTTGCCTTCAGGGAACAAAGAGTCACTGGAACCCTTGTGTTCATTCTGACTGGTCTGTCAGTCTTTATGGCTCCCATCTTGAAGGTAAATGTATGAAATGCTTGTTTCTTCCTCCTCCTTAGAATACTAATGGATAATTGGGCTTGTAGAGATTAGAATTCTTTATGAAATATTGTCCATGATTACCATTAGAGCTTTAATAGCAAGCTCCTCTGGGACCAGATAAAATGAGGGCTTAAGAAAAACCTCAGAAGTCTTTTCTTGACTTTCTTCTCTCTCCTTCACCTTTTACCACGTTATTATTAAATTTGTAATTTATTAGATTGGACCATATGAAATTACTAGTATTCAAAAGTTCACAGTTCAATCTAATATTATTTAGATGGAGCTCCAGTAGCTTACCACTCCAGTGGTAAGGAGTTGCACTGCAAACTCAAAAGTACATTAATTGATCCTCTGTGGGATCAGTCACTCTGTGGGAGAAGGATAGGCAGTCCGCTCCCATAGAATTTATTTTACTGCCTCTGAAAACCTGCTAGAGGGCCATCTATGAGTTGGTTCCAGCTCAGTGGTGCCTACCAACATCAACAATATTATTTCAGAGTGATCTTCCTTCCTACATTTCTTGTTCTTCTTTTATTCCTACGTTCCTTGTGTTGCCCCACTTTTATTCTTCACTCTGCTTCCCGTTTTATTGTTGGATAACATGAGTGGTTCTAGATTATAATTTTTATTTTTCTCCTGTTTATTATTGCTGACTGTGAAAGGACTGTTGAAATATGGGTGTGGCTAAGTCATACTTCTTCCCCCTTCATAAAGGGGAACTATCCTATCAATGATGTCCATAGCACCATACAAATAGCTGCATAGTCAGATGTGTCACCTGCCATGCTCCTGCATATTTTTCTACCAATCATTGGTTCCAGCATTCATTATTTAGTCACAGACTCACTCAGAGTTATTGGGCTTATAGGGAGATAGATTGGAGAGTAGGGGAGGCAAAGAATATCACACAGTGCAAGTCCAGGTTTATTCCAGAAGTTCCAAGCCAGATTAACAACAATAGAAAATTTTAAAGGTCAACTATTGAGGAAGAAAAATTGTATAATAGATAATAAGGAAGAATCATTTTATACCATTATCAATGGGGTAAATTATTATATTGATAAAATACAAACTATATGAGAAAGTCTGTTTAAAAACAGAATCAGAACTCTCTTTTGTGACAGATACAAACATTCTGTTCTTTTTTTCCTATTAACAATATTGGGTAATTACTGATCATTTGAATCTATGCTTTATACCACAGTAGACAATTCAAAATCAATCATAGATCTCGTAATTATAGAGAACTACTGTAAACAATAGCCTTCCAAATTTTTCCTAAAAATTTTTAAAACTTTAAATAATTGAAAGTATGTTTAAATTTAATTTCTGTTTAATTATACATATGAAATACTGGTGGCCCCATTCACTGCAAGCCACACAGATACAAGATGTGATTGACCAGGGAACTCTTTTCTCCCATTTGTCTGTGACATCGGATCTACCTACAGCATATATGAGTGACAGAGGGATATCATGCTATTGTAGGCAGGTAAGGGGAGACGAGTGAGTGCCTGAAGCCGCCACGAAAATCCAATAGGGGAAGCAGAAAATTAAGAAGAAAGACCGGGCCATCCAGGGCTACAGGAAAGAACTGTCAGGATCTCCTTTCTGGGAAGGCAGCAGGAGGTGACAAGTACAGGGCAGATGACATTGTTATACAGGGCAGGTGTCAGGCGAGCCAGCAGCCATCCCCGATATTTGTTAATTTTTGGTGATGAGAAAGACTTAATAAGAAAGGGGGATCACCACACCTCTCACGTTTCAAGATGCACCACAGGTACCTGAATGAAGATAAGAAACTGGGGTAGAGGAAACCAGCACTAAAGACAGGACATGACACTCGATGTCACTTTCACAAAATGACCTGGTCTCTGGAATGTAATCATGTCCTAATATGAGGAGTGGGTATTTTTTTTTTATAGCAGCGCATTTATATTTCGATTTCCTATCAAATGAATGGGAAGAAAGTGGCAACATAATTCTATAAGCTATAGAGAAGAAAAAAAATTAATGGTATAGAGACTTACTGAAGAATGAAACAATTTGCTGGTTGGGCAGAAACTCTAAATTTGTAAAGAATACAAATTTGTTCTGAATTATGGGGAGAAGTGTGCTTTTGTAGTGGAAATGAGGAAGGAAGGTTTGGATTATAGCTACAAGGTGAATATATCATTAGCAATTTTGTTTTCACCTAGTTTCTTCCTAGAACAGTTTGAGTAAACCCATTCCCCTATAGTTATATTCCTACCGCATCTCCCATATTTACTAAGAGCAATTTGAAGCAAAGAGTCTGGCTCCATTCAACCAAAGGCAAGGCCATATGTATATCACTGGATAGAAGTCAAGGTTACATTCCCAGTAATGCATAAAAAGGAACTTGCAATAAAGAGGAGTTTTGACTTTTTTTTTTTTTAAAGAAAAGCATGTATCAGGATTGTATCCTCTCTCCATGTCTATTATATCTGTATGATGAGCAAATTACTAAAAAAGTTGGACTCTCTAAAGAAGAATGGGGTGTCAAGATTGAAGGAGATTTATTGATACCCTGCATTATGCAGATAAGACAACCTTGCTTTTTTAAAGTGAGGAGGACTTGAAGCACTGCAGAAGATAAAGACTAACCCTTTCAAAATAGATTGCATCTCAGTGTCAAGAATCCAGAAATTTCCACCACTGGTAACATTATGAGACGTGGAGAAAAGATTGAAACTGTCAACAACTTAGTCTTACTTGGATCTATAACAAGACCCTTAGTACCAACAGTCAGGAGGTCAGGAGCTGTATTGCACTGGGAAAATCTGCAGGGACTCCTCCAAATAATTGAGGAACAGTGATGTCTGAGAGCTATAAAATGAATAAGGATGGCAGAAAAAGAATTGATGCCTTTGAGCTTGAGTATTGGAGAAGAGTTCTGATTATCTATGGATTTCCAAAAGAGCAAATATTTCTTGGAGAAAGTGTAGTCAGAGTGCTACTTGGAGGCAAAGATGATAAAGATTCATCTCACATATTTTGGGCATGTGGATAGGAGAGTATTTTCCTTGGAGAGGAATATCGTGCTTGAAAAGATGGAGAGTTGGTGAAAGAGAGGGAAGACCCTCAACCAGATGGATTGACACAGTGACAGCTGCAGTGTGCTGAAATGAGTCAGCACTTGTGAGGATAGCACAAGATAGGACCAGCTTCAGAGCTGTTGATCACAGGGTCACTATGGGTAGTACTTGGCTAGAGGACACCTAACAACAGCAACAACATAGATAAAACTGAATTTGCCTTCAGGATAGTAAGACCAATGTATACATTATTATTATTATTATTATTATTATTATTATTATAATTGATTAACATCTAAATGAAAAAACTTAAATAAAATTAAATTATCATGAAATGATTGATTAACATTTAAAAGATTGAATTATGTTTCTTTAGTCCTTGGTTCGGCTACTGGTCGAGTTACTGACTGCTTTCACGGAGGGATATCTATTTCACGTGAATATCTATTTCAATATTTAAACTAACCTGATTTACCACTTAATTACTTGAAACATTGTTTAAACATCTTAAGATTAATTAGGAAGTTATTGAAATACTTTAAGATTGAAAACACCTTAGACAGTTGTTTCTGGATATGAAGAAAAAACCAAAAAAATGTTGCCCATGAGTCAGTACTGAGTTATGGTGGCCCAGTTTATATCAGGGTGGAACTGGATTTTCAATGGTTATTTTCTTTCACTAAGTCTTTCTTCCATCTGCCTCTGAGTAGACTATAACCTCTAACCTTTTGGTTACCAGCAGAGCTCATTAACCACCACCTTATTAACAGTTGTTACCAAGTGACTCATGGTGTGTCATGGTACAGCTGTGCTCTAGGGTTTTCAATGGCTGGTTTCTCATAAGTAAGCCATCATTATGGTAGCCACAGTCAAGAAATAACAATAAAAAGAAAATTTAAAAAAAATTATTCTATTGGATGACCGTAAGCTGACATCTTTGCTTTTTAGCACATCTAAAGCTACTCATGACCCAAGCTATGATATTTTCAGTAGCTGCATGTACATGTGAAAGTTGGACAATGAATAAGGAAGATGAAAGAAGAATAAATGTGACTGAATTATGGTGTTGGCAAAGAGTATTGAACATACCATGAACTACCAAAATAAAAAACTGATCTCTTTTAGAAATGTAACTGGAGTGCTCCTTTAGGGACAAGTATGATGATACGTCATCTCATATCCTTTGAACATGTTGCCAGGAGGGGTCAAACTATTGAGAAGGTGTCATGCTTGGAAAATGAAGATCAGCAAGAGAGAAGGAGCCTCAATGAAATGGATTGACACAGCGAATACAGTAATACATTTAAGGACAGCAGAGATTGTGGTAATGATGTAGGATTAGTCAAAGTCTCAGTGTATAACAGGTCAATATAGTTGTATTTAGCTTGAGGGCGCCTCACAACAGCACATCATCAGACCTTTCTTCCAAGGTGCCACTGGGTGAACTTGAACCTACATCTTTCCAGAGATCTTACAAAATTCCAGATCTTAGATTTGATAGGACAAAAGAGAAATGTCACTACCTTTGTTAATATAAAACAAATTGTATGGTAGATTTGAAGTGGTGGTGAGTTTCTCACCATGGGTTCCACTGCCCAAATGCTTTATATTGCTCATTTGCTCCAGAGATACCAGCTGATGGGAAAATCTCCATCAGAGCATTACCACACAGGCAGCTTGACCTCAACTGGAAAGATAATTTTCAGAGAGGTCACTGGAGGCAGTTACAACCCATGATGTGGAAGGTTCTTCTAGAAATCATTTTCTCTAGGGTTCCCTGAAGGTGGATTTAGCATGGCCCAAATGAAAAGTTTCTTTTATAGCATCTCCTAGTGCTTCTCCAGAAAAAATAAACAAACAGAAAACCAAAACTTCAAATTCATTGCCCTTAGTGTTTCTTCTTACTCATAATTGACTCCTCAT